AAAGCTCCACGACTCAAGAACTCAGTATATAGTATTACGTACAGTGCCGATTCATAAACTCCGTCAAAAGCCAGCATGTGCCGGCTTGTCATGTACGTCGCTATGTACTGCCGCAAACTCACAATACCAGCTTTGTATATCCTGTGGTTTAGTAGCATTTTTATTTTCGGCCGGAATTTTTTTTTAATTCGCCCGCGCGCACTAGTTTGGGGGTCTTCAGAGGATGTCACCCATAAAAATAAGTCGACGTGGTCTTATAGCTGTCGTAGTTGAGCGCTGTATGAAAGAGAAGAATACTGGCAGTTAACAAAGTGAAGATTTTCTGATGTGCGTCAATCAGGGTATCAAATCTAATCATACCTTCTTCAGTAATGTCTATTATTTCAGACCCCGTGAAAATCCCCAAAGAGTTTCCCCAAATGTCAATATTTTCACACTATGCGAACATGAAGAACGGTGCCAATCATTATCTCATATACTCCCTGCGCTATGGTTGAAACATCAGATGGGGTTAAGCAGAATTTGAACTTACATTCACGATGACGAACGAGATAGCAAAAAACACATTTGTCTTCATACCTCACAAATGGGTAGACTTTCCCCTGGCACACATTCAAGACTTTCCCCCGAACTCCAGCCAACCAAGATCGGCTAAAGTTCGGGAGCAGTCTGGCCAGATGTAGGCCAGGTCTACCTTTCTATGCGAATCGAATTTGAGTTAAATCTGAGTCAAATTTGACCCCTGACAAGCCCTGAACACTGACTGACTTACTCGCAAATTGTTGTCTTGTGGGTGAACTTTATATGCGAATCGAAACGAATTTTAGTTAAATCTGAGTCAAATTTGACCCCTGACAAGCCCTGAACACTGACTGACTTACTCGCAAATTGTTGTCTTGTGGGTGAACTTTATATGCGAATCGAAACGAATTTTAGTTAAATCTGAATCAAATTTTACCCTGAACAAGCCCTGAACACTGCTGACTTACTCCCAAATGCTTGTCTTGTGGGTGAACTTTATATGCGAATCGAAACGAATTTTAGTTAAATCTGAATCAAATTTGACCCCGAACAAGCCCTGGACACTGACTGACTTCCTCCCAAATGGTTGTCTTGTGGGTGAACTTTATATGCGAATCGAAACGAATTTGAGTTAAATCTGAGTCAAATTTGACCCCGAACAAGCTCTGAACACTGCTGACTTACTCCCAAATGGTTGTCTTGTGGGTGAACATTATATGCGAATCGAAACGAATTTTAGTTAAATCTGAGTCAAATTTGACCCCGAACAAGCCCTGAACACCCAAATGGTTGTCTTGTGGGTGAACTTTATCGAATTGAAACGAATTTTAGTTAAATCTGAGTCACATTTGTCTTGTCTTGTGGGTGAACTCTTCAACTTTCCTGAGACTACGCCACAGGATCACATGAATCAAAATGGAGGTGAAATGTGAAAAGTGCGTGACACCTTCATCAGATCAGATGTCTATCTTTGTCAAATCAAATACACCCGCAGTGCCGTGGGGGACCCGAAATTGGCGGAAAAAATTGCAAAATTGGTGGAAAAAATTAAAGAGATGAGCAGCATGATATAGATGTCACAGGTGTCAAGAAAGAATCTCTCCAAAGAAAAAGTTAAGTGGGCCGGGCCCAATCTAGCATCTAAGCGTTCCACAGGTCAGTTGCTTCAGGTGTCTGTTTATCGTCATACGAATCGCCACAATGACGTTCAAATGGAGATAATGCGAGATAATTAGAGTTGCGTGCTGCGTCATTTTGAGTCATGTATTCTGGTAGGTCGACCGGCGTAATCACTAGTGTCAGTAGTGACAGCCAAAGTGCCTGGTTATTTATGTCTTACGCCGCAGGGCTGTCGCTAAGCACACCGGTGACGTCTCCCTCTTCAGGCCGGGGAAAACGTGATCTGACCTTGGGTCACTGTCTATCAGATCCATATCAAAATAAGTGGTTGTTGACAACCCTGTGAAAAACTTATAGCCTCTACCAGGCTTGGGGAGGCGGGTGGAAAGAGTAGAAATCGGCCAAATAGAGAGATAACATGCCAGGGGAGTTTTTTCTGCTGGGAGAGAACATTTTACCGGCAAAATATTTGGCCGATTTCTACTCTTTCCAGCCGCCTCCCGAAGCCTGGTAGAGGCTAGGAAACGTACTCTCTTTGAGAGACCAGTACACACTCACCAGCCAAGATTGAAACATCTTACACTTCATTAAGTTCAATCTACAAATTAGTTTTTTTTACAGTGTGGTTTTCCAAACAAATGGTGTCTGTATTCTGACATTTTATATGGTTAAACTTTACGAGAAATTTTATCCGTGGGTTCGTCCGTTGAATTTTTAGCGCGTCTTTCTTTATTAAATAACCGCGTGAGAACAGTATTAATCTCTACCAGACTAACTGTCTGGCTATATATAGGAGAATATTTGCCAGGGGAGTTTGGCCGCCTTGTAGGTTTGACTGGCCGCGCAGTTAGGAAAGAAACTACCTCCCCGCGGCCGGACTCCCTTGGCCAATTTTACTCTCTTTTTTGCCGAATTCTACTATCCATATTCCTATAGAAAGGCCTGGTGGAGGCTAGAACAGTGGCATGTCGGCTTGATGTAGAACTCAGTCATCTCAGTAAGTCAACCGTGAAATCCCTACAAATGGACGTGTGATCGTAGCTAATGCCTTAATCTAGCTTATACGTGTCACACACAGCACATCGTACCCCCTCTACCTACCATTTGTACAACAATGAAACGTACTAAAGTAGTTTTTTTTTTCTTCTTGCCGGTATAAGCGTTATGTAGACCCTTGGTTTGCCCTCGACACGCAGACAGATACCCCGCAATATGTTGACCACGGTCGAGCTGGTTCTACCGTGATATACCCGATAACCTTTGTTTTCCGAGTCACTGAATAGTTGAAACGGTTGACTCTCATTGTAGTCTTGTCTAAAGATAGGGCCACTATATCCTGAGGCAAGGAACATTCCTTTTCATCTAAAACGATCTACACTTCTAACCATCAACCTTTATCTTATATCACTGTTTAACGTCAACTTTTATTGACATTATAAAGTTTTGTTTACTACTTACCTTCCTTTCTGAGATAGATTCATTGTTATTTTGGACAATAAGCCATATAATTCAGCCTGAAATGTTTGGTGTCCAATTTTATTTACTGGATAAAGCTTTGTGTAGTGAGATAGATAGACAGAGATATATAGAGCTAGAGAGAGAGAGATGTATAGATATATATATTTGTATATTAACGACGTTAAGGCCACACCAATTCAAATTCTTGGTTAACGGATTTTTCTAGAAAAATAATGGTGCGGGCGGGCAAAAAAAAAATAAAAACAGGCATAGGCATCCTATTATGGCCAAAAATGGTACGATAGGAGCCATGAAGTCAACACACCAGGCTGGTTCAATATTTAAACAATGAAGTTTGAACTTTAAATGATACCACTGCATTGAAAGATGGAATAACTGTAACAACTAGGAAGAAAAGGACTGTTTTCAACTGTTCAGGGCAAAATATTAGCATTTTGCAGTTGATTCGGGCGAATCCGTTAACCAAGAAATTAAATTGGTGTAGCCTAACACATGGCTGTGTACAACTTAACAATGGCAACACTTATTTTTTTGGAATTATGACATCCAGTCATGACTTTAGTATCTCTTTATGGCAATGAGCAAGCTTGAAAAATACTTTGTTTTGTATGTAAAATATGTTTTATTTATTTGACGTATTGTAGTTGCTAATTATATTTTGCAAAAGTGTTCTAATTATCTAAAGTCTTAGCAAAAGCCAGATCAGATGCTTTCTGTCTTATTTTAGAGATTTGATATTTATGATGTGTCGAAAAATTATGAATAGTAACATATAACTACAAATATGCTGTAATTTGACTTGTTGTGATGTCTGTTCCGGTTTAGGTGTACGTCCAATAATCTTCCAACTCTTTCACTCATACTTAACAAAACCTGAGACGGGTCGAAACTTGGACATCTCCTGAAAGAATCACAACTATGTGGTGAGTACGGACAAACACCTATCAAAATGTTGTTACAAATTTTAGAACAGGCCAGAGGTCTGCTGCAGTTCATAGATATCTATCAAATGCACTTCGCTTTATCAGATTGTAGAATATTTGTAAACAGATACTATATTCGGCATAAGCTGCCGGGTATTTTGGCACACTGACAATTTGTTTATATCACTTAAAAGATCACATCGGCTTGCTTTTATCTGTGTGTGTGTGTCTGTGTGGCGGTGTGTGTGTGTGTGCGTGTGTCACTGTATGTGTGTGTGTGAGTGTGTGTGTGTGTGTGTGTGTGTGTGTGCAGTGTGTGTTTGTGTGTGTGTTTGTGTGTGTGTGTGAGTGTATGTACTATGTATGTGTGCATGTGTGTATGCTTGTGTCACTGTGTGTGTGTGTCTGTGTGGCGGTGTGTGTGTGTGCTTGTGTCACTGTGTGTGTATGTGTGTGTGTCTGTGTGTATGCTTGTGTCACTGTGTGTGTGTGTCTGTGTGGCGGTGTGTGTGTGTGCTTGTGTCACTGTGTATGTGTGTGTGTGTGTGTGTGTGTGTGTACTTGTGTCACTGTGTGTGTGTGTGTGTGACAGTGTGTATGTTTGTGCTTGTGTCACTGTGCGTGTGTGTGTGCGTGTGTATGTGTTCGTGTGTGTATGTGTGTGTGTGTGTGTGTGTGTGTGTGTGTGTGTGTGTGTGTGTGTGTGTGTGTGTGTGTGTGTGTGTGTGTGTGTGTGTGTGTGTGTGTGTGTGTGTGTGTGTGTGTGTGTGTGTGTGTGTGTGTGTGTGTGTGTGTGTGTGTGTGTGTGTATGTGTGACAGTGGCTTAACGCTTGCAGGAACAATAATAAATCATTTATCATTAGATGTACCAGTTTCTATATGTCATTTTCTAAAATTTGTCCGTAGTACTTCTCTAATTGTTTAGTCAGAAATATATGTTTTTTTAACAGTTCTAACGCCAGGGTATCCACCCTGCTCTTCCTACTCTGCGCTACATCACTCGTCCTCCTTCTGGTCGATGCCAAGAAGAGGAAAAAGAACCGTAAGTTGGAAAAAAATAATGCCTTTGCCCCCAGATCGTCGCCAAAAATCCGCATCACGTTTTTAGTAGCCATTAGGCCACACCGACTTCATTTTATGGATGACATCCGCGCGCGCATTGATTTTCGCCTGTTCTAAAAAAACGAAAAAGATCACGTCCTCAGTGGCTCTGGCCTGGCTCTAGGCCTGGGTAGTCCATGGTAGTTAGCAACAGTACGGAGCCGGTGGTAACTCTGGAGGATGGCACCCAGGCTACCGAAGCTCCACGATTCAAGAACTCAGTACATACGTACAGTACCGATTCATAAATTCCACAATAATTTAGATTTGGAAATTTGAAACTTGATTATGTGAGCCGGTACAAATATTTAGGTCTTTTCTTAGATGAACACCTGTCTTTTAATACAGCTACTACTGTTCTTGCAGAGGCTGCAGGGAGAGCTCTAGGTGGGGTTCTGGGTAAAGTCAAGGTTTTAAAAGACTTGGGTTACTACACATACACACAACTCTATGAAGCGTGTGTTTGTCCCATCCTTGACTATGCAGCTGGTGTCTGGGGATAAGCCAGCATGTGCCGTATGCGTCGGTACCGCAAATTCACAATAGCAGCTTTGTATTCCTGTAGTTTAGTTGCATTTTTATATTTGGTCGAATTTTTTTTTATTCGCCCGCGCGCACTAGTTTGGGGGTCTTCAGAGGATGTCATCCATAAAATTAAGGCGGTGTGACCAAATTGAATGCTTCAGTAAATAAACATTATTCGGATGGCCTTAAAAGACCACCAACAGCAGTTAAATTCGTTTTGTTAGCCTGGAAACAAAAGATCTTATGTACCGTTCAGGACCTGAATCGTCCTCATATCCCGGTTGAAGAAAGTCTTTGTCGTCGTAGATGTACTTATTACATCCTTTTTATTACTCAAATCAAATCAAATCAAATCAAGTATATAATCAGCAAGGAGTCACCCTACTCAGTAATCTACAGAACTTGGTAGGCTCTATGTTTGATGTACACAACATGTCTGAACAACTCTTATATAACATTTTACTTATAGAGGATCACCCGATTTACACCCAGATACAAACTTTAACATTCTGACAATCACCCGAACTTACGTTATTGATACTAAATGGTTTGCATTAGATTAACTCCTGCATAGCCTACAAAACATGTTCTTCCTTACCATTTATTGATCCATTTCCACCCATTTGCTGTTCTCTGTTGTTTTTTGTCATGTATTTTGTTACTGTATACTTGTATGTTTGGTGGTGAGTTTAAAATTAGCTATAGCTAGAGTCCCTCACCACCATGTCTTGTATTGTCCATGTTGAATTGTAACTAAAAAAATCAAATCCGCATGGCCTGACGGTGTTTGTTACCTAATAATGTATTAATCAAATTGAGAGAGGGCGATACAAGAACCTCCAAGTGTATGAACAAATTTGCAAACATTGTACGTTGAATACGGTGGAAGACGAAACGCATTTCATCTCAAATTGTACCCTCTACAGCAAGGAACGAAATGAACTCTTTGACGTGGCCTCCAAATTCTACCCAAATTTTCACACATATACAAATGCAAAGAAAACTACTATCCTCTTAACATCCGGAAACCCACAAATTACAGGAAAAGTGGGATCCTTTGTCTTCCTCTGTCTTCAAAAAAGAAGTCAAACTCAGTAGTTATTAAAAGTAGTTTATCAGTAGTTATCAGTAGTTCTATGTGTACTAATTGTCTGTTTCTTCTGTTCCTGCAATTAGCCCTCGGGCATGAATTTGCAATTAAACATTAAAACAGTATACCTACTAATGCATTTACAGCAAAGTGCCCCGAGCTGGTAATCAGAGACGCAGTACGGTATGGCTGTTCACCGCCCTTCACGAAGGGAGAGTCCTGCTTCTACAGGTGTGAGCGCGGGTGTAGGAGGCGGGGAGGGGCCAGGAAAAGGACGTGCAAAATCAGGCCGACTCGATGGATTGGAGGGCGCGGATTAGATTGTGCTTGTACGTATTCAATTTTTTTATTACTTAGTGGTCGCCACGTAACACGGCCATTAGGCCACTTCAAGGTTGGTTAACCACCTGAATGGTATCACCTGAATGGTGCTACCACCTGCATGGTATTACCACTCACCTGGGTTACAGGTTACCGAGTAAAACTGTAACAGCAACTCTTCTCCCTGAGTCAGAAACATCATGATTGAGACCAGCCCAATTTCTCACAAGTAGTGAGGACTAACTGACCCAATGGGAGAAGCAGGAGTTACGAGGCTGGTCGGGAAAATTTTTAGACCATAATGGTTTGTTCCACTTCCACTCACTCACTCACTCACTCACTCACTCACTCACTCACTCACTCACTCACTCACTCACTCACTCACTCACTCACTCACTCACTTACTCACTCACTCACTCACTCACTCATTCAGTTCTTCAATTCTCTATTTCCATACCAACATTGCAGACATACAATGTAGAATTAAATTGTTGCCTGAATGGCATTGGTGTTTACATCATTAGATTAAAATAAACACATAACATTATTACATACAATATATACATGAGTATAATATACATACTACTGATATGAACTGTACATAGGTATAACAAGTTCTTATTATACAGTCTGATTGTAGAGTCTAAAAGACTGATGTAGGAAAAGAGTTCTGGAGTCTTTTTGTTCTGGCTGGGGGGATGGAGATAGTGTTTTTAGTGTTTTTGTTCCTAAGAGAGCGTCCAGTAGCATTAGCTCTAGAGACAGGGACAATGTCTTGTAGGGGGTGGTTGTCCTGGAACATCTGCGTAAGGAGTTTCAAGACAGCGTCCTCACGCCTTGACTGCAGGATGGGTACTTCGGATAGTATCTTTCAATTCCTTCTTTTATTATCTTTTTGAAGTATATCATAAACGCATATGACGTCGATACTGTGAATGAATTGAAGATGTGCAACATTATTTAATAGAATCTAAATTTTGGGACCCATTAAGAGAGAGATGAATTTTATACATTTTTATGTAGGTACCTATGGGGTCATGAATTGATGTTACGCAGTGGACTTCTATCACGTGGTGAGCACGGGCGGGGCACGACCTGTCTTAGCCAATCACAGTGTAAACTTGATCCGCCCTAACCAATCGCAATGCGGAACTACACGTTCTCCTAAATTTGCCTCGTCTTTCAGAATACCTCGGCCCACTCGAACGAACCACGGTAGCGACCGGTCCGAAACAATACGAAAATAGTCTAATACAACCCAGATTTCACGACTTCATACACTTAATTAATACTAATTCATATTTCCATTTAACTTTGATAAACATTCGATTATGAAATATATCTGTTCTTACCATTACTAAGAAGCGTAGCGAAGTCGAATTCACTTAGTTGTTGTTACTTGACATGTGTATATGTAACGTTTTCTGTATACTATTCCTTTATTGTGACCAGTACTTAACCCATGTAGTTAATATACGTGTACAATAAAAGTTATACAAGAAATGATGTATGTAGCAGGCGCTACGTGTTTTAACTCTTCTCTAGACACATTCCAAAAACGGTAAGTTTGTGATAGCAACGACAATGCATATAAACGCAAATAAACATGTAAAATGAGATAGAATGCGAATAATATAAGACGAACTTGATCACACGACAATTGTACATGGTTCAATGCATGGCAACGACTATTGAACATTTTCATACAAAAAGAAAAGGGTATAGAATGAAATTTAACATCCTAATTACTAATCATCAAGTGCTAATACAATCTGCAATCAAGTATTAATCATATAAGCATCGGCATTTTTATAGATTATCATAAATAGCAATTTTCTCTACTGAAAACATTTCTAGTTTGGGGGCCAAACTCCAACTCCTATCATACAGGCCTTTGAATATGGCTAATATTCCTGTGATATTTTGGTTATTTCAGGCCAACCCCCCTGTACGAGCGCCCCTCCAGACGTACCGAACACGATGGATGAAAAGACCTGCACACCGCCCGACCCTCCCTACCGCTCTACAACAGTCTGTCTCTACCACTGCATCCCCGGGTATTGGGCAGCTGGGGGGCAGAGCTTTAAACAATGTGTGAGTGGAACATGGATAGGGGTTGATCTCGTTTGTGGTAAGTGCAATTAATTAATAAATGTCAATTTTGTAATTAAGCAATTTTCACTTGCGCTTAAAATCTCATGAGGGTCGAAAATTCAACATCTCCTTGAAGAATCTATGTGGTGAGTACGAAAATGTTTTTATTAATTATCTTCATAGAACATATACATTTCCATTCCAAATGGAACTAGGCAAACCTATATATCAGCACTATAAGCTACATATGCGCATACATCTACAACTGTCTGAAGAAGCGACAAGAAGCTAGAATTGTACATCGTAGTCGAACCAGAAGGTAGCAGTACACATAAGTGACAATGACAATGAAGTTTTTCTCTACTGCATATTCATGCCCCAGTGGGACTAAATGCACTTACTACTTTAGTTACAAATAAAGATTAGGCAAACTACGAGTATGCTATGCTCTATCTATATCTAATCTGTACATGTTTTTTAGTATGTACAATGTGATACCTCAGTAAAGTTTGTTTGGTGAGATATCTCTGTGCTTTATACGTGACCTGTACTTAGCTCGTAAAAACATAAATATGCAATGGAGGTATTTCATTCATTAGCCCAATAGCTTGACTACAAATAGAATGGTAGTTGCAATGTCTCGCTTACCTGTTTATGTATTACTTATCATCTCTATATCACATTTGCATACGTTATTAGTTTTAAGTAGAGATACAAATTTGGACAAGTAGATGTAAATCTTAATGTTAACACATGGTTTTATAACATTCTTCAATACGTTCTGTACTCACTGTCATTGTCACTTTGCAGTTAGCCCCCGGGCATGAACTTGCAATAGAGAAATTAACTAAACCACGTCATGTCTGTCATTATGCATTTAGCAAAAGTCCTAAATGTGGCAAATTCACGTCTACAGTCTACCTAAATATTATGAGAGGCAGAACAATTGAAGTAATTGTAATTGAGTTCTTGTCAGTGTATTGAACATCGGGATCATGTTGTAATGAGAAGACCCATTGCTGATGCTATGTGATGCATAAGATTTGCTAGAATTTAGCTTTCTTTTTCATGGAAGCATATTGACTGACATCCCAATATGTCAATACAGACACCGACGACTGTCCTGGTGTAACCTGTCAAAATGGCGGAATTTGCATTGATGGCATCAACAGCTATAGTTGCCATTGTCTTCCTGGCTATGAAGGAGATCACTGTGAAACAAGTAGGTACTCCTGCTATAAATGTAGTAACCCTGGGTAACAGATGATTGCTAGCATTCTCTGTTTTAAATGTTTTTTTTTACTTTACGACGTCTCATAAAACCTTTACCATGGAGAATTACCTCTCGGTGATCCGAAACAAATCCTTTACATCTAGTATTACAAAACTGAGAATTAGTGCACATTGCCTAGAAATTGAGAAGGGTCGTCACAAAAAGATACCAGCCGAGAAAAGAATATGTCCTGCCTGCAAAGACAAAGTTGAAGATGAGTACCATTTTGTAATAATATGTCCATACTATAACGAAGAAAGAAAAAAAAACTAATGATATCATGTAAAAATAAAATAACACTACCTGGGACAAGTAGAGAAATCTTCAACATATTGTTATCATGCCCCGACTCTGTATCTGTTTATTTAGGCCAATATGTACATACTGCTATACAAAAGAGAAACCTTGTCACTGCAATGTGAAATGTAACATTCCATTAGAACATATATACATGCATTGAAGTTAGATTAGTACACTAGTAGAAATAGTTTATAGTTATTAAGTGTCACTTGCCATACATTGTATCAAATGCAATTGTTGCGCAATAAAATTGACTTGACTTGACTTGACTAGAAGTGAGGAAGTCAATCGCAACAACTTTGTAATAAAAACTCACTGCTGATCGATCTTAGCGAGCGGTATGGCATTTAGAAAAATTGCTATAGAAAACATTAACTACTATATATCCCAATATGTCAATACAGACACCGACGACTGTGATGGTGTGACCTGTCAAAATGGTGGAACTTGCGTGGACGGCGTCAACAGCTATAGCTGTAATTGTGATGTTGGCTATGAAGGAGATCACTGTGAAACAAGTAAGTACTCCTATTAGGAATGAAGTAATCTGCATTAGCTGGAGAGGTTTCCTACTAGCATTTCATGTTGAACAAGACTCGATGTCAATTCTCTATTGATACGTTAACGTTCGACGCTTTATGTCGTATTTGGCACAGTCCTTTTTGATTATTTTCTTTGAAGAATATCAACTGTCATTCCAATATACCAATGCAGACACCGACGACTGTTTTGGTGTGTTCTGTCAAAATGGTGGAACTTGCGTGGACGCCGTCAACAGCTATAGCTGTAATTGTGATGTTGGCTATGAAGGAGATCACTGTGAAACAAGTAAGTACTCCTATTAAGAATAAAGTAACCTGGATAACAGATGTTTCATCATGTTAAAAGAACCACCGGAGCATGTCGTAAGCGAGGAAAGTCATTGCTGATCGTACTTGGTAATGCATGAGACTTGCATGCAAGTTGCTTTTTCTTGGAAGCATATTTACTCACATACCAATATGTCAATGCAGACACCGACGACTGTGATGGTGTGACCTGTCAAAATGGCGGAATTTGCATTGATGGCATCAACAGCTATAGTTGCCATTGTCTTCCTGGCTATGAAGGAGATCACTGTGAAACAAGTAAGTACTCCTATTATAAATAAAGTAATCTTCATTAGCTAGAGATGTTTCCTAGCATTTTATGTTGAAAACGACTCGATGTCCTAATTATTTATTATTATTGATGCGTTAACGTTCGACACTTGATGTACTACTTTGAGATCTTTTTATGGTATTTGGCACACTTATTTTTGCTTATTTTTGAAAAAAAAATATATATATTAACTGGCATTCCAATATACCAATGCAGACACCGACGACTGTGCTGTTGTGACCTGTTATAATGGTGGAACTTGCGTAGACGGCGTCAACAGCTATAGCTGTAATTGTGATGTTGGCTATGAAGGAGATCACTGCGAAACAAGTAAATTACCCCTTTTATCAGTGCATTAAAGATGTGCCTGGGCGAAAATAACACGGCTATATTCTAACGATGTCACTGTTGTTACTGAAACGTACGTTGACTACTGTTGCCATGTACATGTACACGGCGGTCTGTCACTACGGCATTCTTTCCCATTGCTATGCGCGTTCGAAAAGGTATCGGGTTACAAGACGCTATTTTGGCCTGTTTTGGACTACCCGTAAAATATTTGAAAATACACAAATGATATTTAGGGGTAAATTTCTTCAAATTAAAATGAAATTATTGTCTTAACATCCTTTAAATGTTAGCTTTTTATGTTAAATCAATGATTTTTTTAAATTTCGCTCAGAAAGACGATTATTTTCGGGTTTCCGAGCACAAGTCATATCACGCTTTTAGGCAAACATCGTTCAAACCTGGCTACGTATATTACCCCAGATCCCCGATTTTTATATTTTTCGCAGACTAGGAATAAGACAAAAAATCGTGTTTTAGGGATTTTTTAATTTCTGATTTTAAGTCTAGTTTTTGTCGACATATTGGTGAAAAAATGGCATTTTTTTACATTTTTCTCACTAAATTACCCAAAATTCAAAATTGAGGCCATTTTTCAAAAATCCCTAAAACACGATTTTCGGGACAACCGTTACAGTCATTTTGAGCCGTAAATGGGGTATGTTTGACTCTCCATGTTTCCAGGTTTGAACGAGTTTTTGGAGATATGTCATATCGCCAGAAAGTGTGCATTGTGTTATTCATACTGGCGTAAAGAATCATTAGAGTATTCAAGGTCACTCAAGGATACGACAGTAGCTTCGCTACATGTTTTACATGTCCACCAAAAATAATAGCGGACATGTACTGCCCAGGAAACTGTTTGTATCTATAGAAAAGTGTTGTTTTTTATCTGTTGCAATGAACGGAGGTAGAAAGGCTTGTTTTGCCGCTTTATAGTGAAATGGCCGCAGGTGACCCCGAAATAGAACGCGGGTTCGATTCGAATTCCCCAGATCGAACACGATCGAACACAGTTCGGGTTCTATGACATGTGGGAACTTTGCAGCCCAGATTTTACCACCGTGTGTAGTAGTGGACAGCTTTGTAACCATGTAGTAATGGACAGCTTTGTAAAACAGCTTTGTATCCATGTAGTAATGGACAGCTTTGTAAAACAGCTTTGTATCCATGTAGTAATGGCCAGCTTTGTAAATCAGCTTTATAACCACAAAAGCTAAACTGCTTATCGTATATATAGAGATACATGCAATTCGAATTCCAAAACATGTAATTTGATTGAATTAAAATGCTAGACCTCTGATTGTATTGAAGGGAAAACGGTATTCCATGCAATTGTAATTTGATTTTCTTGGAGGTCAAACACCTGCTGTCACAATATGTCAATACAGCCACTACCATCTGTTCCTCTGTCACCTGTCAAAATGGTGGAACTTGCGTGGAAGAGAACAACAGCTATAGCTGTGATTGTGTTCCTGGCTATGAAGGAGATCACTGTGAAACAAGTAAGTAGTTCTGTTAATTATGAGTAAATCACCCTGTATAAAAGATTTGTACAGCGTTGTCATGTCATTACAATATCATAATGTTCTTATTAGTTGACAGTTTGGAATTGTAGTGTAGTGTAGTGTAGTGTAGTGTAGAACTGTAGCAAAACAGCTTTGTAATAGCGAAAAATACGTGACTAGTCGCATTGGGAGATGCATAGCATTTGAGACAATTGTAGTTAGATTTTCTTGGAAGCACACTAACTGGTATTCCAATATGTCATTGCAGACATCGACGACTGTTCTGGGGTGATCTGTGAAAATGGTGGAGTTTGCATTGACGGCGTCAATAGCTACAGCTGTGACTGTCCTCCGGGCTTTGTTGGAGATCACTGTGAAACTCGTGAGTACTTCCAGCCTGTGTACCAATGTTTCCTACCTTACACAACCATGCAATGCAGGCAAACTCTAAATTCCAATGAGCTTAGACAACCTCTGATCCAAAAACATGTCTTACCCTTTCACCATTATAGAGAAGCGAAATCAACTTTATTTATAATACTAGTAATAGACTATAGTGTTAGTGATAGCTTGATTAAGTGTATGTATGTACAAACTATTCTTTTTCTGTGACTTGTTGCATGCAGTCGTAAAATGAGGGCATGGTGTAACACAGGTGAGAACTTTGGCTTATGTTTAGCATACTCGTAGTACATTAGTCTTTTCAAACTAACCGTTTGGTTTCCTTTGACCTTGTTGGTACGAATATGCAATAAAGATTTGAATCCATTCATCCATCCATCCATTCATTTATCCATTTATCCATCCATTCATCATTCATATCATTCATTCATTCATTCATTCACCCATTCATCCAGTCACACATTTATTTATTCACTCACTCACTCACTCACTCACTCACTCACTCACTCACTCATTCATTCATTCATTCATTCATTCATTCATTCATTCATTCATTCATTCATTATCCCATAGAAATATTTTCATTGCGTCCTCCACACTTTACCTTTCCATGTGCCTTTCCCAATTGTATTAGAAGAAGTTGTAACTCTACCAAATGCAGACAAAACTAGTACTAGTCATAGATGGAAGGCCATCTGGTGGTTTATAACTAGCGGGTATTGTATAATACAGGGCCACAGAAAGCAGATCATCCATCACGTGATGAGTCGCCATCATGTCGTAATCCTGTAGCCGACAACTGTGGTTTTCTCTGCTAGCACTCGTGCAAGGCTGGGCCCTCTGAATCTTCTTATGACTTTCCTCTCTCTTTTGTTATCATCTATCGGAATGCTTCCGCCATAGAAGATATGGAGCCGCATAGCTCCCGCTTTAGGAACTTTTCTTCAGCCTGTCTCCAAGATCGGTTTTGCCGCCGTGGCGTCTGCAGTGGTCAAAGGCTATTTGACTTTTCAGTGACCTTATTTGACTTGCAGCATGACTTAATTTCTTCTTTTTAGAAAACTTGAGAACAACGAAGGTGTTGTCTCCTCCATTGGTTGTTTTCTTGCTCTAACATGCACCTCTGGTACATGGTATCTTCGTCTTTTGAGGCCTGGACAAAATATAAATGCTGTCGTTTGGGACTAACTTTTCTCGGTAAATTCGATGTGGTCAGCATCGACGATAATTCATGGGGCTCTCAATGGTGTTCCAAATCTGACATGTAGGTTGCTGCCGATTTCTCAAGGGCGTTTGCTTTCACCTGAATCTATTTTGTTGATTGCCGTAAGCTTGCGGGTAAGAATCTGACAAAGTGTGTAAAACTCACTATCATTTATATCCCAATGAAAGCATCCCCAATCTATCACGGGGAGTGGGGTGGTGGCTGAACTTGTTTAGGTAGGTATGGTCAAGGAATTATTTGAAGTACCAAAGAGCTATCAACTCCCGGTAAGGGAACTATCAACTATTGCTTTTTTTCATTCTATGGACGTGAACTTTCTTTCCGGCACACGTCGCTTCATTCTTATCCACATTTATGCTCCATCTTACGCAGTCCCTTGTCTCAACTGCTCTTTCCGCGGGCTCCAATTCTATTCCGAAATCTTGATAAAAGATGAGCCTTTGTTGAAATTTGGAAAATGATACGGAAATGGATCGAGATTCGGGCCGAGAAGGGCCTGCCCCTGATGTACGTGAAACGGTCGACAACCCGAGACTCCAGAGACGAAGTGTACAACTGTCGACCATTATGCATTATGATTATTCGAGGGGTCATCTTACTAGAATGCATTCTGTTTTGATTTCACTGGGAATGTGTCACTGGTTATTTCAGGCCCACGCCGCTGCACACGCCACCCACCCGACGTACCAAACACGAGAGATGAAAAGACATGCCAGTCCAATTTTCCCTACCGTGCAGCGACATTTTGCTTCTACCACTGCATCCCCGGGTATGTCGAAGCCGGGGGAGAGAACTTTAAGCAATGTGTGAATGGAGAATGGAGGGGGATTGATCTCGTTTGTGGTGCGTACAACAATTTACAACGTCACTTCTCTTATCGTGCATCTCGCTAAAGTACCAAAAAAGAATGTAAACTCTTGAATACATGTCAAAGCTCTAATTGCAATGAAAACAACAATGGTATACTACAATGGCGACCCCTCTATTTCTATACTATTCAGGCATAACTGCATAACTGACACAGCAGGCTATTTCTGAGCAATCTACTGCATTTCTGACGTAACTTTATTCATATGGGGCGCGTTACTTTGTGAGAAGTGCATCATAACCATGCAAAACGTTTGTGGCACCATCCGTCTGTTTAAGTCCATAACTGACACTTAAGTCTATTTCTTTTCCGTAACTTTTAATCCGATTGGAGAATTGTGAGCAACCAACTGCAGCTCTATCTTACATTACATTATGCATGTAAAAGATGTGACACATATGAGTGCATCATAAGCATGCAAGCCGTCTGTGACGCCCCCCCGGTCTCTGTAAATTCATAACTGCATCATGCTGCATCATCTCTGTAATTGCAAACTACTGCATCTTTAATGTCATGTTATGCATATGACTGTGAAAAGTGCATCATAACCATGCAAAACGTTTGTGTCGTCGGTCGCCTCTGTAACTGCATAACTGACGCATCAGGCTATTTTCTCTGTTACTATCCATTCGATGGGAAGATTGTGACCAATCTGCTGCATCTCTAACGTCATGTTATACATATAAGACATCTGCCTCTATGGGTACTGCATCATAACCATAAAAAACGTTTGTGACGTCGCTCGTCCCTATATCTGCATAACTGACGCATCATGCTGCTTCATTTCCAATGCAGTGGGGGAAATTGCGTGCAATCTACTGCATCTTATGGTATGCATGTAGGACACGTGACTGTGGGCAGTGCAACATAAGCGGTTTGTGGCAGTGCAACGTTTTTGGCGTGCAACGTTTGTATGTGGCATCCTCCGTCTCTATATTAACTGCATAACTGACACATCGGGCAGCTTCTTCTTCTCTGTAATTCCCAAAGCAATGGGGGGAATTGTGGGAAAACCATTGCACCTCTGACGTCATGTTATGCATGCCATGCAGGGTACGTGACTCTGTTACTCATTAGCATGCAAACGTTTGTGGACTATCCCATCTTTCCTAACTCATTTCTGTCCTAATTAAAATGCATAACAGACACATATTATCATTATTGAAGGATATTTCTTCTCAACCCTCCCCGCAGAACAGAATGCTACATCATATCGCAAATACCAAATGACACCTTACGATCTTCATTAGGTTTCACAAGAGTAATGCACAACAACGCTCAGCAAAGGAAACAGATAGTAAACATTATAAGATATAACATTATAGGCATTTGTAAATCAGCGCAGTTCAAAGTGCTTTAACAGTGATTGCCGTACATCATTGCAGTGAGCAGCGAATGTGGTACTGATGTCTGTGCCAATGGCGGAACTTGCGTCAATGAAGACAACGGCTATACATGTCAATGTGCTCCGGGCTACGAAGGAGATCACTGTGAAACAAGCAAGTACTAGTTAAAAAACATTCCTCTGAGATCTAGCTTTCATGTGGGGTATTTGATGAAAATCGACAACATTCAGAAAGATATTACCTTTGTCAATAAAAGCTCCGGAATTAACACAAAATATGTCAATGCAGACACCGACGACTGTGATGGTGTGACCTGTCAAAATGGTGGAACTTGCGTGGACGGCGTCAACAGCTATAGCTGTAATTGTGATGTTGGCTATGAAGGAGATCACTGTGAAACAAGTAAGTACTCCTATTAGGAATGAAGTAACCTGGATGAGAGATGTTTTACAGACTGTGTATCGAACCAAGGGACAATTTCGTAACTAGAAAAGTCATTGCTGATCATACTATGTTATGCAAAATATTTGCTAGAATTCAAGTTGCTTTTCTTGGAAGCATATTGACTGACATCCCAATATGTCAATGCAGACACCGACGACTGTGATGGTGTGACCTGTCAAAATGGTGGAACTTGCGTGGACGGCGTCAACAGCTATAGCTGTAATTGTGATGTTGGCTATGAAGGAGATCACTGTGAAACAAGTAAGTACTCCTATTAGGAATGAAGTAACCTGGATGAGAGATGTTTCGGTACAGTGTCTGTGTATTGAACCAAGGGACAATTTCGTAACTAGAAAAGTCATTGCTGATCATACTATGTTATGCAAAATATTTGCTAGAATTCAAGTTGCTTTTTCTTGGAAGCATATTGACTGACATCCCAATATGTCAATGCAGACACCGACGACTGTGATGGTGTGACCTGTCAAAATGGTGGAACTTGCGTGGACGGCGTCAACAGCTATAGCTGTAATTGTGATGTTGGCTATGAAGGAGATCACTGTGAAACAAGTAAGTACTCCTATTAGGAATGAAGTAACCTGGATGAGAGATGTTTGACATACTGCGTATTGAACCAAGAGACAATTTCGTAACTAGAAAAGCCATTGCTGATCATACTATGTTATGGAAAATATTTGCTAGTATGCAAGTTGCTTTTTCTTGGAAGCATATTGACTGACATACCAATATGTCAATGCAGACACCGACGACTGTGATGGTGTGACCTGTCAAAATGGTGGAACTTGCGTGGACGGCGTCAACAGCTATAGCTGTAATTGTGATGTTGGCTATGAAGGAGATCACTGTGAAACAAGTAAGTACTCCTATTAGGAATGAAGTAACCTGGATGAGAGATGTTTGACATACTGCGTATTGAACCACGGGACAATTTCGTAACTAGAAAAGTCATTGCTGATCATATTATGTTATGCAAAATATTTGCTAGAATTCAAGTTGCTTTTTTCTTGGAAGCATATTGACTGACATCCCAATATGTCAATGCAGACACCGACGACTGTGATGGTGTGACCTGTCAAAATGGTGGAACTTGCGTGGACGGCGTCAACAGCTATAGCTGTAATTGTGATCTTGGCTATGAAGGAGATCACTGTGAAACAAGTAAGTACTCCTATTAGGAATGAAGTAACCTGGATGAGAGATGTTTCGGTACAGTGTCTGTGTATTGAACCAAGGGGCAATATAGTAACTAGAAAAATCATTGCTCATCATACTATGTTATGCAACAGATTTGCTAGAATTCAAGTTCCTTTTTCTTGGAAGAATATTGACTGACATCCCAATATGTCAATGCAGACACCGACGACTGTGATGGTGTGACCTGTCAAAATGGTGGAACTTGCGTGGACGGCGTCAACACCTATAGCTGTAATTGTGATGTTGGCTATGAAGGAGATCACTGTGAAACAAGTAAGTACTCCTATTAGGAATGAAGTAACCTGGATGAGAGATGTTTCACAGACTGTGTATCGAACCAAGGGACAGTTTCGTAACTAGAAAAGTCATTGCTGATCATATTATGTTATGCTAAATATTTGCTAGAATTCAAGTTGCTTTTTCTTGGAAGCACATTGACTGACATCCCAATATGTCAATGCAGACACCGACGACTGTGATGGTGTGACATGTCAAAATGGTGGAACTTGCGTGGACGGCGTCAACAGCTATAGCTGTAATTGTGATGTTGGCTATGAAGGAGATCACTGTGAAACAAGTAAGTACTCCTATTAGGAATGAACTAACCCGGATGAGAGATGTTTGACATACTGCGTATTGAACCAAGGGACAATAGCGGAACTAGAAAAGTCATTGCTGATCATACTATGTTATGCAAAAAATTTGAATTCAAGTTCCTTTTTCTTGGAAGCATATTGACTGACATCCCAATATGTCAATGCAGACACCGACGACTTGTGATGGTGTGACCTGTCAAAATGGTGGAACTTGCGTGGACGGCGTCAACAGCTATAGCTGTAATTGTGATGTTGGCTATGAAGGAGATCACTGTGAAACAAGTAAGTACTCCTATTAGGAATGAAGTAACCTGGATGAGAGATGTTTCGGTACAGTGTCTGTGTATTGAACCAAGGGGCAATATACGGAACTAGAAAAGTCAATTGCTCATCATACTATGTTATGCAAAAGATATGCTAGAATGCAAGTTGCTTTTCTTGGAAGAATATTGACTGACATCACAATATGTTAATGCAGACACCGACGACTGTGATGGTGTGACCTGTCAAAATGGTGGAACTTGCGTGGACGGCGTCAACACCTATAGCTGTAATTGTGATGTTGGCTATGAAGGAGATCACTGTGAAACAAGTAAGTACTCATATTAGGAATGAAGTAACCTGGATGAGAGATGTTTGACATACTGCGTATTGAACCAAGGGACAATTTCGTAACTAGAAAAGTCATTGCTGACCGTACTATGTTATGCAAAATATTTGCTAGAATTCAAGTTGCTTTTTCTTGGAAGCATATTGACTGACATCCCAATATGACAATGCAGACACCGACGACTGTGATGGTGTGACCTGTCAAAATGGTGGAACTTGCGTGGACGGCGTCAACAGCTATAGCTGTAATTGTGATCTTGGCTATGAAGGAGATCACTGTGAAACAAGTAAGTAATCATATTAGGAATGAAGTAACCTGGATGAGAGATGTTTCGGTACAGTGTCTGTGTATTGAACCAAGGGACAATTTCGTAACTAGAAACGTCATTGCTGATCATACTATGTTATGCAACAGATTTGCTAGAATTCAAGTTGCTTTTTCTTGGAAGCATATTGACTGACATCCCAATATGTCAATGCAGACACCGACGACTGTGATGGTGTGACCTGTCAAAATGGTGGAACTTGCGTGGACGGCGTCAACAGCTATAGCTGTAATTGTGATCTTGGCTATGAAGGAGATCACTGTGAAACAAGTAAGTACTCCTATTAGGAATGAAGTAACCTGGATGCAGAGATGTTTTAGTGTCTGTGTATTGAACCAAGGGACAAATTCGTAACTAGAAAAGTCATTGCTCATCATACTATGTTATGCAGAAGATTTGCTAGAATTCAAGTTGCTTTTTCTTGGAAGCATATTGACTGACATCCCAATATGTCAATGCAGACACCGACGACTGTGATGGTGTGACCTGTCAAAATGGTGGAACTTGTGTGGACGGCGTCAACACCTATACATGTGATTGTGATTCTGGCTATGAAGGAGATCACTGTGAAACTCAGGTAACTAGAATTTGAAACAAGAAATTAGTACTTATATCATAAATGAAGTAAGTTAACCTGTAATACAGATGCTTCCTTGCGTTATCTGCGGAAGAGAACACTACCACGTGGTAACGGAAGAAATTCATAGCCAAATCGTTCTTATGGTTAAGATTTATTTTACCATGTTCATTTAAATTATGTTTGGAAACGACGTTGAAGTGGATATCATATGGCATTTGTCGAATGCATAGCATTTCATATATAGTAACCCCATTGACGTTAAAATAACGGTGATTGTGTTGACAGTCACATCTATGATGACTTTTAGGAATTCTTTCACATCTAAATAGTTCTTTGTTCTTCATAAGATGTATTTATCATGTTTATACAATTTGTCTGGAAACGACGTTGAAGTGGACATTATTAAGCCATTTTCTAAATGTAGAGTATCCCATATAGTTACCTCATTGACGTTAATCCAAAGATGATTGTATTGGCAGTCACATCTATCATGACGCTTCACGATTGTCTTTGAAATGAAAATTCCAACTTGATTGTTTCACTGTAGACAGACTGCAGCGACTCGAGTCCTCACTGTGGTTACTGGGCAAGTATAGGTGACTGTGAGAACAATGCAGGGTACATGCTTGCCAACTGTCCTCTGAGTTGTGGCGTGTGCACTTCAGGTAAATAGAACGTGAAACAAGTGAGCCATAATGAAGTGACCTGGATGACAGATATTTTATTGCATTTTCAATAGGAAAGAAGACGATCATTTGGTAGTGGTGAAAATCCACAGCTAAATCTTCTTTTTGATGCATGACATTTCTTCGTCCTATTAAGCACATAAACTACCATCTTGATATGTCAATGCAGACACCGACGACTGTGATGGTGTGACCTGTCAAAATGGCGGAACCTGCGTGGACGGCGACAACAGCTATACATGTGATTGTGTTTCTGGCTATGAAGGAGATCACTGTGAAACTCAGGTAAATAGAACTTGAAACAAGCAAATACTAACATTATAAATAAAGTAACCTGTATTGCAGATGCTTCATTCCGTTATCTGCGGGAAGAGAACATGACCATGTGGTAACTGAAGAAATCCACATCTAAATAATTCTTTGTTCTTCATAAGATTTATTTTACCATGTTTATACAAATCATGTCTGAAAACGACGTGGAAGTGGACATTATTAAGCCATTTTCTAAATGTAGAGTATCCCATATAGTTACCTCATTGACGTTAATCTAAAGATGATTGTATTGGCAGTCACATCTATCATGACGCTTCACGATTGTCTTTGAAATGAAAATTCAACTTGATTGTTTCACTGTAGACAGACTGCAGCGACTCGAGTCCTCACTGTGGTTACTGGGCAAGTATAGGTGACTGTGAGAACAATGCAGGGTACATGCTTGCCAACTGTCCTCTGAGTTGTGGCGTGTGCACTTCAGGTAAATAGAACGTGAAACAAGTGAGCCATAATGAAGTGACCTGGATGACAGATATTTCATTGCATTTTCAATAGGAAAGACGATCATTTCGTAGTGGTGAAAATCCACAGCTAAATCTTCTTTTTGATGCATCACATTTCTTCGTCCTATTAAGCACATAAACTACCATCTTGATATGCCAATGCAGACACCGACGACTGTGATGGTGTGACCTGTCAAAATGGCGGAACCTGCGTGGACGGCGACAACACCTATACATGTGATTGTGTTTCTGGCTATGAAGGAGATCACTGTGAAACTCAGGTAAATAGAAGTTGAAACAAACAAATACTAATATTATAAATGATGTAACCCCTATTGCAGATGCTTCATTGCGTTATCTGCAAAAGAGAACACGACCATGTGGTAACTGAAGAAATCCACATAATTCTAATAACTAAATAGTTCTTTGTTCTTCATAAGATTTATTTTACCATGTTCGTACAAATTATGTCTGGAAACGACGTGGAAGTGGACATTATTAAGCCATTTTCTAATTGCAGAGCATCCCATATAGTTACCTCATTGACGTTAATCTAAAGATGATTGTATTGGCAGTCACATCTATCATAACGCTTCACGATTGTCTTTGAAATGAAAATTCCAACTTGATTGTTTCACTGTAGACAGATTGCAGCGACTCGAGTCCTCACTGTGGTTACTGGGCAAGTATAGGTGACTGTGAGAACAATGCAGGGTATATGCTTGCCAACTGTCCTCTGAGTTGTGGCGTGTGCACTCCAGGTAATTAGAATTTTAAATACAAAGTACTCCTATTGTAAATCATGGAGGTACCTGCATGACAGATGTTTCATTGTGTTCTGCGGTAAAGAGGGCGGCCATGTCGTAATTGCTGATTAGAATTATTGTACTTTATGATGCATAGGATTTGAGACAAGTTGTTTTTTTTTCTTTTGTTCTTGGCTATGAAGGAGATTATTTTTAAAAAGTAAGTATTTATATTATAAACTAGAGTTCCGCGTGCCTCATACCTTCGCCATGATGATGATTTAAATAATATCCACATTTTCATGAACAATATAAGTTGACCATATTCTCCCCCAAAGACAGCCTTATCTTAAGAATGCTATCTTTGTTGTAGGATTTCTTCTAGGCCACGCAAATGAAGTCCTAATTTGAATATGGTACGAATAATGATCTTCACTTTCACTTGACTTTCAATTGTCGCAAGTACGAAATTCCAGCCAGTCACCACTATGCCAATTATAGAGAAGAATTATGAGACGAATGTTGCTCAATTATTTTAGGCATTCCAACTACCATTCCAATAGTTTAATGCAGACACAGACGACTGATATAGCTAGCTATAGCCTCCTTCGCAGACTTGTGCGGCGGCGTGATTTGGGGGGGGGGGGCGCTGATCGACGCAAGGTTTACCGGGGAGGAAGTTATGCCACAGAGAGACTATATGCCACCGGCAAAA